AAAGCGCAAAAAACCGATTTTTGTGACCTTTGACCTTGAAATTTAATAGTTGCTTACACCCTACCATATGTAGGTTTTGAGACAACTTTTAGGGTGTCAATATACAAGTATTTACAGACTTACAGCTGGGTATCTCGAATTCCGAGGTGAACTTACTATAATGACTGGACTACTAACTTTTGTTTGGTAATGACATTTCGGATGTGGCTGTCATTACGTTAAGGTCGACTTTCAAATGAACAAATATGTACCTACGTTATTTACAGAAAAGGTATTTGTGGTAAAATGGGCCGAATAAAATGATAGATTTATTTTTAAACCCTGTTGTGAAATATTGACAAACGGTGGGAATTTGGTAATTGCTCAGAAAATACACCCGTTTCAAGTAGATGGAGTCAGAAATAGCAATAATCTATTTAAGAACATGCATTCAATCAACAACATTGTGTTCACGAACATAAATTGAATTTTTTTCCAAATGATGTCAGCAACAATGGTGAATAGCATATACATAATATGGTGAATGCTATTTAAAAAATATGTCTACCATTACCACAACATTACCGTTACTCAATTTGACAATTTCACCAAACATATCTTCAACTCCCTAAATGTTTTTTTTTATTCTACGAATATGAGAACCCCAGTAACATCTCATTTTGAAACATGAAATTAACATGACACTTCAAAATCACAGTACAATATACATTACATGTATACCTACTTACCTCTACTACTAGTAATTATATGTTTCTTACACCTTACTTGTAACAAAGTATCTTAAACAGTAATGAACCTTTGTATAATTCTTTTAATTTAAGTTCAATCTTCATCTGAGTTACAGTTGATGTAAACTGAAGAAATAGTGTCTCCTTTTTTCATGAACTTCACCTTACGATTTGAGATTGTGGAGATTAAATCGTAAGGTGTAGTTTATGAAAGTACTATGGATCTTTATCAAGTAACGGCCGAATCATTCGGAAAATAGTATCTCCTATTACACATCCATCATGTTCCCACATCATACAAACTATATAGGTATATTCAACCTAATCGCCTTTATTTGAATTACTACAAGGTTCACTACAAACTATAGACAATCACACTCTTTAGAATCAGAACCTGAATATAAAACCCTTTTCTCAACTCTGTCTACTCCGTCTTTGTATTTCGTGGATTCATCTTTTCCTTTCCTTTTCCCGTTTCCCTTTCCTTTACAACTGTATCGTATTTTTTTTTATATTTTCTTCATCCTTTCTTCATATTGCATTCGTAAAAGCTTTCTTTTCAAGAGTATTGGTCAAAATAATAGATTTTTTTTGAGCCTGCTAAATGTAGGTATTTGTTTTTCGCGGTGGCGCTTTTGGTAAAGATTTAATTTTTGATGGCGAAAAATGTTGTGTACACCTAAACAACTCGGAGTTGGCGCAGTTTCGATATGCCGTATAATTTCTGTGGTACCTACTGATATCTTAATCAGGAGCAGAATTTGATAGTTCTGGATTTTCCACCAACGATAAATTTTCAGTTACATCTATATAACTCAATTGAAATGAATAAAAACACTTTTGTCTAACTACCACTGGTAAATTTTATTTATACGACCGGTATTGGGTTTGACCCCATTATCAAGTATAAAACATTTGTATAAATATAACGTTTTTCGTTTCTGTAGTAGGATCTGGACGATCAGTGATATATGACGGTGCAAAGTCATTATCTTAGAAAATATTAACATTTAAAGGCCATTACTGGTGAGCGGCAATGACTCCTTTACTATACCTGGGATATATATTGTCATCGTTTTCTCTGGATTATGCATCCATAATTTATGTGCTGTGTGTGCATAGTTTTTAAACGGACCGTAGACTCATATGTCCAAGGTTTGAAAATTATGAAAGCAGTTAGGAGGAAACGATAAAGTGATAATATTATTTTCTTTTGATTTTTCGACAACTTTTAATATTCACGTCTGAGCTATGATTATCGAGAAGTAGCAGAACTGACTCCTTCTTGGTAGGTTTTGCATGTCTGATAAAATGGTCTTGAAAAACAACAAATTGTTTCTCTTTCATCCACTCTGAAGAATTGCCAGCTCCATTGCAATTTGAAGGCCCACCACGAATAAACATTTCAGAGTATTTTAGGTAATGAGAAACAAACATCGATGGGATAAAATTTCCCGCAGCATTACAGGCACAAGCGTTACAAGAGTTCCTCTCTCAGCCGACGTAATGGCACCAACTTGCCATCTGTTTAAAATCTGTCTGTTCAAAATCTGTTTTTCCGCTAATCAGCTGTCGCCCCCATACGAACGACAACTCTCAGAAGTTGAGAAACTCATGCGAGCTAAGGACTAACGAGGTCTTACCTTTTAACGTGTGATTCCTGACACGGACCATGAGCAGCTACATTTTTTTTTAGGTTTTTGAACTGTCGTACCCCGGTTTCATCAATATTCCATACTCGAGAAGCGTCAAATTTGTATTTTTGTAGACGTCGTTAATATATTTCAAAGAAAGCATCAACGTTCGCATCGCATCAACGGAAAGTTGTTGCTCGACTTAGTGACGTGGCCTCGGGTGTCCTTAAAGATAAGTTCGGATTTCTGTGCATACCAATTTTGAAACCAGTCAGGACCCGCCATGTTATTTTGATACTACGAACGAGGAATATTTTAGCACTAAGTTGTACAGATCATTGGTAAGTTAGTTTTCGTACTTTCATAGGAAGCAATGCAAAATATTATTCGGAGTACTTATAGATATATGAAGACATTTTACCTTATTCCTCTCCAGTGAATAGGTAGGTACTTACCTAGGCTTAACGTATCCAACTTTCAGATTATCTTTTTGATGAATCTGTACAGAGGCACATGATATAGGCCAACATTTTCGCTTGCTTTTCGAATACCACACTTATTTTCTAAAACTTCAGCTTCAGCTAACTGATGAACCTCTTGCTTTGTCTTGTTCGCCCTGTCTTTCTTTTATAATCTCTCATTATAGAAAAAAATAAGTTACCTAAGATATTATAATTATTGTGAAAGATACGTTGATGGGTATATGTATATTATGTTAACGTTATTGACTTGTCTTATCCTTCATGATATAAACAACTTAGTGATGATGCAGATCTGAAGATGATGCTACTGTAGTTCATTGGGCAGATAAACAGTCATACAGAGAGAAGTAACAACAGAGCGGCAAAAGGAAATACGAATTTGATGCATTATTGAGATAAAATAAATTACAATTTACAACAATCGAAATAAAACAAGAGTGTCAGTTGTAAAATGTTAAAAGCCCCAAGATTTTGTTACAACTGACAAAACTGTCTCACGTCAGAGATAAATAAATTTAAATGTGAATGAAAATACAAAAGTTTCAAATTAGTTGATAATAATAATACCAAACAAAATTTTACGAAAGTATAATTTTATGTAATCTAAGAAAAATTAATCGTGTACAAACGATCACCCTCCGCGCCGTCTGGTGAGTCACTGGTTGTGACGACATGATGTCCATGATGTATGATGTAGTGAGATACCGACGTTCTCGATGTTACAAGCCCCTCGTTCCCCTTTTTATATTTTCATTCATTTAATATGATACTATAATCTCATTTAATTTTATGAGTAGCATATTACGCTAAATGTACTTTATGTTTAATAGGTATAACTGTTACCTACAAAAAATTTAAGTTATATGCAAACAGGCATTTCTTATTAATAGTAAATAAATAGACATTATAAAATTAGCTTAGAATGTTTTTCCACTTTAATCCAATAATAGCCAGGCCCTATTCTCGATAGGATCTGCCCGATCCCTGGATATAGGTAGGTATAGGTGTCTAGCTAGACAACTACTGCTGCTGCTATGTACCCAAGTGAATCTACTTTCATTTCTAGCTGGCCTAATAAGTAGTCTCTATTGTAGCTAGTCAAGTCAGTTTATCGACCCTATTCGCTGTTATGAAGCGAATTTCAGAATTCAACAATCTGTGTCAAGGGAACATAAATATACAGGGGGGAATCTTGAAGATATACAGGGTTATTAACCGATTCCGCCGATTCAATCCGATTCGATCAGCACGTAGTGACAGAAAATACATAGCGGCGTGGCTAGCCTAGCGATGGCCTTCTGATAAATTATGTCACTCTCCCCACTATTCTTCCACTGGGATGGACTATGACGCATACAAAATTTTACTTCCCGCCAAAAACGTTTCACATAGACATTTTTATCATATGTTGATAATTTCTTCCGAAATAATGAAAAACGAATTTACGTTCCTGATTTATTTAAATATCACAAGATTATAAATTCAAATAACAAATTAATTTATAGAATTTAGGGACTTATTTGATTGATGAACTAGTATGGAACAAGAGCGCAAGCGTTGGCGGCCATATTATAGTAAAACGATTAGTCATTCCTCCATTTGACCCAACTTATAAATGGATACTGGAATTAGAATCGTTTTTCATTGGTGTATTCATTATTTTTTAGTGAAAAATAGTTTCTGTCCTGCTAGTAATTGATTCAAGAATAAGATATGAATAGTCAAACTTTAACCTTGAAATTCGCTAAAGTTCAAATTAGGTTGGAAGTCTAAACATGAATTCCTTATAGTAATAATGCATACAGTCTAATTTGTACAGAAAGTAAAAAAAGTGTACCTTATTGACAATACTGATAACCACCTGCGACGTTTCGTATAAGTTACCGATAACATATTTTTCACTGAGTTTTGGTAAATTTTCAAGTCGAAGAAAAATGGTTCCATAACATAGTTTCGTAAAAAAAATGAATTGAGAGTGTAGTATAACATATCCTTGAAATACAGTTAAGTCGGAAGACCTTGGAATTGCTGTACCTAGCCTCCGTTTGGGTACGGTGACGTCATGAAAAATGTGTCGTCACATCAATCTAACAAGATTCTGAGAGCAGCGATTGGCGGAGAACTGGTTTCATCGGCCATCTTGTAAGCGGCCATAAATGAAAATCCTTACAGTGGTGTCAGGTCCCTGGAACGAGGCTAGAAGACCTCGCGCCACCGACCATGTAACTGCTTTCAACTCTACATACGAACCTAACGAATACGTCGAGTGTTGTCGACGGCTGTGTGTCAAGAACTGAACGCGTTGTCTTTCCAAATAACGATTATAAAATTAATGTTCGGTACACAAAAATGTAAATCAAATGAAAAATAAGTTAGTGTTAGTGTAAACCAAAGATATTTTACTTTTTTTTTATCGTATGCTAAGGACTTCCCACAATATTCTGAAACACCGAATGTTTCCTTTTGATGGCGCTATGGCCGCTGAAACAGAGGAAAAATAATCCTCCTTAACCTCATTTGTGGATTTGTAAACAACATTTCGAAAGCCTGCTGAATATTGGACATCACAAACACTTGCATAGATGAAAATTAATAACACTCACCACCTCAGAGGGACAACGATGACTTACGTTATAATGAAACGGCACCTCTTTGACCATACATTTTTAATTTTTTAATGTCTGTTTTGTTGGAAATCCATCATGAACGTAAAACAAGAACGTCATGATGAAGCAGAGATTAGGGAGCTGGCTGCAAAGTTTATGGAGGCAAACAAGGCCAAAATGGCTTTGCCCCAAAGGCCTCAGCAACAAGGTGGCCAGAGTATGAATATTTTGAGTTTTTTAGCGGAGAGAACTAAAAACAAGAATAATTTGTCTCCATGTGATAGTGAAACGAAAAACATCGATGAAGAATCTATGAAAGGAAGGTTTGGATGGACTTTCATGGGCAAAATGCACATCCCTTATATACTTCGTTCGGGAGAGAGTTACTGTGCGGTTCGCATGGTGGAAATGAAAGTTTTGAATAAGCTGTTGAATTATTTACACCAGGATCTTTACAATTGTACGAATATTCGGAGCTACTACATTACGGAAGCAGAGGCAAGACTTTTGAATGAAATCAACTTTAAACACTGCGACTATCAATTTGGTCGTGAACAATTCACTTCGAGGGACCTAATAGTACGATTGACTGACGCAAATGAGTTTTATCAATTTTTAGGGCATTGTTATGCAAAATTAGTTAATAACACTGATTCTGAAAACTTGGAACGTTGTGGTTTTATCAGAATTAATAGAGAATCAGTAGTACCTTACACAGTGTATAATGAACAGAAGTATGTGCCGCTTTTCTATTTCGAAGGTGAAACTGACAATTTGAAACAACGGGCTGACAAACTTGAGGGATGGGATTTATCTTATTTGAAATTTTGTTGTAAAGTACAAGGAATTAGGAATGAATTGTTCGCTCATGATTCCTGTTCAGTAATTAGTTTAAATGACATTAAGAATTACTTCCCTCCGGGAACAATGTTCGAAGATTATTGGCCTAAAAAGAATCTTGATTCGCAGTTACTCATAAGTCGAAATTCTAATCATCAACAGCAAATTGTTCAGTGGACTCGACAGCCAATAGCTCCCCCAATATCGACTCACCCTCCTCCATCCCCAAAACCTGCCACACAGGCAAAGGCAGCGAACAACACTCATATGCAGAATGTGCACGTTTATGCAAATTACGGAATAGCAGGTGGACAACCCACATATCATTCCACCCAACCTAGAACAGCTAGCAGTGCTGTGAGAGCTACATATCCCTCAGCACAATCAAGAATGCGACCATATTCCTATTCCAATATGGGACAGGCACCACCTCCTCTAGTTCGAGCCAATTCATCTTCGTGAGTATCACTTTCATACTATAATAAAATAGATTTAGGTTCGATTGAAAGCACTTGTTCATTCTATCTCTCTCTATCTGTAGACATCATTTTTTTATATGAAGTTTCACTTAGATCGGTGAGAGTGGAAATTTGTAATTTGCATATCAACTAGAAAGTTTAGTTAATTTGAGTTGATAGTTTATCAAACCTACAACTTGAATGAATAACTTGGTCATATACATTTTTTCCATACTAAAATTTTGTACTAATTTCTATCTGTTGAATTTTCCAAGTATTTTTCCAAGTATTTTGTGAAACAGCCAAGAAACTTCAAAGTCAACTTGACAACTCAATATTTTGAAAACTCTAATGACAACATATTAATTGTCATCAAAATTAGTCGACTATTTTTAAACGTCTTGAGATTTGGAAAATGATACTCAAAATTAATCTGAATCCAAAACAAGCACTTTTCATTTTTCTTCAGGAGATTAAATATACAGATATACATTTCTTAAGTTTTTTCAAATATATTATGGTTATTGAAAGTCCTCGTATGTTATTGAAAGGTAGTTGAACATTTTAAATCCGTTTTAAATTATCGAACTGTTAACCAGTGTTGAAAGAGTCAACAGGAATTCAATTTTTCCTTTGCTTGGTTATAAACACCATCAAGGAATAGTAATTAAACATTCTTATTATTAGATACAAGCAAACAGTTTCAAATAAAAACAGATGAGTATCAAATTGAAAATTGAGAAATAAAACTTCCTATGTTTTTATACCACTTGTATTTGTAACTAACGTTAATGCAGTTTCATCCTATACAGACAAAATAATAATAATGATAAATGTCATTTATTGGTGAATACCAAAGGGCCATCGACTGAAGTCCTTCAGCCAGTGTACGATTTTTTAAATATTTGTAGTGATTTTAACATATGCTTACATAATAGACACATATTATATATAATAGATACATACATTTTCAAATGAATAGAATGAACTAAAATAAAAGATAATGTTTACCCTTATACCTATATCTATACATCACTGTAGGTAATAACAGAGGTCCTTAACTTAATTAATTGACTAGCTAAATTTTGTCTACCTGTGACAATGTGGGTATGCTAATCTGAAAACTGGCTAGTAGACAAGATCGATTTGATCATTTAGTAATTTACATTCGCAATGGTTATGCTTGTGAATTTCCAAGGATTCCAAATAATTGAATTTCCAACCCTTGCTTGCATAGTGCAAAATTTCTGTATCGTTTAGATTCAGGATATTATGGTTGCATTCCAAAGAATGGTTTGAAAATTCAATTTGTTTTTATACCACTTGTAACAAGTTTTATTTCTCAATTTTCATGATGATTTCCTACCACGTATTAACGGCTACATTCATCAATTGATTGCCAAATGTCTGTTAGATACAGAAAGAAATCATGAAACCGTCATTTCACTAAAGTTTCGTTTCAGAGAAAACATCATTAGTATAATTTTTTTATATGGCCCATAAAAAGTACACCTTATATTAAACAGCATTTTTATTACTAATACAATGATCTAGGGTACAATTTGATTATTTAAATAACAAAAATGATGCATTATAAAATTTCTGGCTGAGATTGAGATCAAACTCACGACCTTTCGATTCTGAGTCGGGTGCACCAACACTGCACCAATTTGTCATATTTGAAGTTTTCATTTGTGTTCATATCTTTATTCTGTTCAGGTTTTCTTTTATTTTGGGGAAGAATATTTGATCCTAATTTTGTTTTTTTCTGAATTTTTCTGCCTACTTATCCTCAAAATGGTTCAATAACGTCTCCAAAGTTATTTAGAGTTATTTTGAAATGACTGAAAATAAATCGTATTGTTTTCCGTTCGTGTTCATCATTCATGTCGTTTGTATTCAAATCTTCCAATGTCCCTACACAGCAGGATGCCTGAAAGAAAACTATTTTTTTGGAGATGGAACTGTTACTATAACAATGATCCTTGACTCATTTCGTCTGCTAAGTGCACATGATTTTCGAAGCCAGTGATCACATACCTCATGGTGCGGGGATTGGTCATTTGTTGATGATGCTGAAGCGCTTTACCGAATGCATTGGAGCTTCGTGAACAGAGCACGACCAGCGCAAACTTCAAGGGAAAAATAATAATAATAATCATTACTAATCATTTTAAAATGACTCTTAGATACAGATTAACATGACATCATAGAAAATATATAAATACAAAAAATATCCAGGATTTTAATGAAACATACATTAACATTAAAAAATATTAATTCATATTCCGCTTTAAGTAGATACATAGGCGGATTATTTATTTCCACAGAGTATATGTAAACATGTATGATCAATACAGAAAAAGACTTGTCTGAGAAACATGTCGAAATAAAAACATGAGTAAGACTATATAACATAAAAATTCTTTAATTTTACATATTTCTGTCTGTTTTTTCGTTAACCAGCTGTTGTCCCCCTACGAATGATAACTCTCAGAAGTCAAAACTTGTGCGAGTTAAGGACTAACGAGATCTAACCTTTTAACGTGTGATTCCTAACACAGGTTGGACGATAGGAAGTGATAATCGATCGTCCGGCCTGGCGGTTTCAACCACCGGTTCACACAGCGGTCAATTAAGTGTGTTGAGCAAACCACCCACGTCAATCCACCAGGCTACCGTCCTATAAATAGTGAAGCTAGTAGCTTCACTATTTCTTGTATCCTTCGCATGACTAGTGAAAAATTTCATAGAAATGTGAATGGAGCCACGATCATGAAAAATTTTTTATGGACTTGATAAGAAAAAGGTTTTCATTTCATAGCTCTTGATCTTACAGTGTATTTCAAAGTGATTTGATTGATTGATCAAAAATGTTATTGATTCAAAAATATAAATTGCTGGGAGGGTCAATATATTACGTAAGTTGAAAAACTATCATACAGGAATGCCTGCTGCTTATATGAAAAATGATTCGAATAACTTTTTTTGCCCCAAGAAAATCCTTTTTAGTTCATGTCTAGCTACCCCCATTTAGTGGAGATATAATAAATCATAAGGCAATATTCATAGTTTTTTATGATTTATTTGTCTACCTCATAGTGTAGTTTTCTCAACATATATTTTGTTATAATCATGTATACTTCTAGTTGCACGTAATCTCTTCTTTCGAGGGGATCTCCGAAGAGAAGTTTTCATACCAAACATTTACCTCTTCATAATGATTACCATCGAAGTTCAAGTTGTCATTCTCCTTGTAGATTTTTCTGAAATGTTAAACAAATATACAGGCTTTCTCGGAAGTTTTGTCATATTCAATGTTGTTTATAATATTTTTAGAATTTCATTTGTACCTCTTGTATTTGGATAATTTCCTAATTTCGTACCAATAGGTTTTGCTTCTATTCACATGTTTTATTCCATTTGTGAGTTCTGAATTTTTGAATCAGATTATGAAAGTCCTTTTTTAACGTATTGAGTGTGGCATTGGATATTGTATTTCTATTTGTTCTATATTCACAATACATCATTGGTTTTTCAAACTCACAATATTAGGGGGAAGTTCTTGTGTATAATTTTTTTCGGACAGTTCGTTACAAAAGTCTTCTATTTATGATGGTTGATTTCATTTTCCAATGTGACGATGTAAGTTATCATGGAATCATTCATTTTTTCCATGTCCAGTTTTAGGAAGTTGTAGCACATAATTTCTTCTGTCTCAATCTTTTACTCAATGTCAAACGATATTTTGAGAGCTTAGTGGTCTCATTTGTTATTTGTTTGTGAGAAGGAGTCTGGAGTTGTTTCATTGTTGTTTGGCATGTCTTAAAGACATACTTTCGTGAAATGGTTTCTTAATACGAGCTGTTAAATGTATGTATGTTATGAATATGTGAATATAGCACGGGTGTGAAGTTATCCACATCCACAACGTACACTGAGAAAAAATATCGAATTATTATTTTTTCATTTACCGACTCTGTACACCTATCATTTTTCAATATGATACGCTAATTGACTGAATTAGTAAAATAAAACAGAACCGTCCTAGTTTATTAAACTGTCTGAAGGGGTGAAAATAGGGTGGAAATATTTAAAAAAATCGTAACATGAAAAATCGACTTTGTACACCTACAATATTGAGACATGTTATTCCTGATGATCTATTCGACAGAAAAAACTTCACGTCATAGTTTTCCTGGCCGTCTGAGGGGGTGAAAATGGGGTGGAAATATTTAAAAATTTCATAACATGAAAAATGGACTTTGTACACCTAGAAAATTGTGATATGTTGAAGTATTCGACAGAAAAAACTTCACGTCATAGTTTTCCACGCCGTATGAGGGGGTGAAAATGGGGTGGAAATATTTAAAGTTTCATAACATGAAAAATCGATTTTGTACACCAACGAAATTGGGATATGTTATTCCTGATTATCTATTCGACAGAAACAAACTTCACGTCATAGTTTTCCAGGCCGTCTGAGGGGGTGAAAATGGGGTGGAAAGCTGAAAAAATCGTATCTTTAAAAATTGAATGTGTACACATACAAGTTTGAGATATGTTATCCATGATGATATATTCGACAGAAAAACTTCACGTCATAGTTTTCCAGGCCGTCTGAGGGGGTTTGAAAAATTGCGGATTTTCTTATTTTTCCCAGTGATACTCTCTGTAACCAGTTCAAATAATACTNCAAAGTTGATTTTTCATGTTGCGATTTTTTTTAAATATTTTCACCCCGTCAGACGGCCTGCAAAACTATGATGTGAAGTTTTTTCTGCCGGATAGATCATCAGGAATAACATGTCTCAATTTTGTAGGTGAACAAAGTTGATTTTTCATGTTGCGATTTTTTTTAAATATTTTCACCCCGTCAGACGGCCTGCAAAACTATGATGTGAAGTTTTTTCTGCCGGATAGATCATCAGGAATAACATGTCTCAATTTTGTAGGTGATCAAAGTTGATTTTTCATGTTGCGATTTTTTTTAAATATTT